CTCCAATGCGATTCCAACTGCATCAAATCGTGAATACATGTCGATAACCCTTCAAAATTACGCACGTATATTGTAAAGCAGTGAAATCAGATAAAACTGCCTCCAGAAATTGAATGATACATTAAGAAAACTAACTTGAAGGTGTCTCGCTCCACGACTGGTACACCAGAAACGCCCTTATTTAGCAAAATGTCAAGGCAGATCGTTAAAGGAGTGTCTGGAAAGACCTAAAAAGCAAAAGCTCTTCCTGAACTGTGAATGGAGCGAATAAAACAACGTTATAAAAAAGAGCGATTCAGAACCAAACTACTAGACTTATGTGCTATGAACGGAGCATGTTAGGAGCCTAACATTGACATTTCATTAAGAATAGTTTAAACTGCATCTTTCAACGTACCACACGGATTCCGACCCATGAGCCAACATTCAGATCCTTGGCAGTTCGAATGTGATAATCAGGTTGGGAAAACTGTTGACCCTGAAGAAAAACCAAATTAACACATAGTAGAAGTCGCAACATGAACGTTTGGAAATAAGAAAGGAAGGAGTTAAAAACGGAAAAGAGAAAAAAAAAGAAAATAGGAAAATATAAAAACGTACGAAACACCAAAGAAACTTGAGCAATCGTTTGTGAGTGAGGATGAAGAGTGGGCTGCCCGATTCTGGATCAAGAACAGGCAGACGATGTATACGATGCTGAGCAAGTAATCTAGCAGCCTCCAATAAACTGAACCAAATTAGTAGATGAGGAAAGGCAAGAATGTTTGTCAGATAAGAACGTACCTGTTATTAGCATTTATGTACACTAATTCCTTGAGCTTTCCTTCTTTTTGCACAAGTTCTGAAATGAAATAAATAAAAGCAGCTTTTAGCGCAACTGCGACTGCAACAGAGCGCAACATACCTCTATACTTTTGTATAGTTAATTTTCCCAAGTCTTGTTTATCATCCACTAATGCATCTGCCTGTCCTCGCTCTCTGAACATTAGAGTCTTATTGAAGCAATATGCTAGACAAAATCAAATAAAGAATAATTAATATAACAAATAAAGAATAAAGAAACACTCACCTACGCAACCTCAGCATAACCCGTATAAAATCTGTAACTGAGAGAATGCCCGTAATTAATCCACCACGTTCGCCATTTGAAAGCAGCACATGCCTAGTGTCTGAAGAAGGGAACAGTCAACTATTAAATTAGTATAGGCTTTGCTAGCATCACATATAAAATTTACTTTGTTATCTGAAAGCCCTCATTTGAAGAATTCGATCGCCTTAAAGCAGAACAAACACCATTTCTGATTTCAGAGAAAAAATTCAGCGGAAACAAAGCAGTAGAAGAGTTTCGAATACACTTTTGACTTTCGGCAAGAAAACCCTGCTTATTTTGCAGAAAAAAAACTTCTCTCCCTCGGGTTCTTGAAGGAGGAACTTCTACACCATGTAATTCAGTTTAGGTCCAAACGAAGGTTCGATCCGATATTTACAAGAACAAACGTTAGCACTACTTCGCTCAGTCAACAAGATTCTTCACATTTGATAGTTTAATTAGGCAGAAAATTCAAGATTATATTTAACTGTGCAACTTCGAAATGAAAAAAAGAACCATGAAAGCCGTCAGTAGAAAAATTAGCTAAATCAGTAAAAAAAAGCTAAATCGCTAAATAGAGGAAGATCCCCTTGGACAGCATGGGATAGGGCGGCATTCCGGAAAAAATGCAGTTGCACCCGGAGTCTCTACCTTCCTCCCCCTCCCCCCCCCCGGCAGGCTTCAACCCTTAAAATGGAATCTTTGACATGATTTTGAATGTGTTCCGCCGCCATGCCCCCGAGTACCTCGATAGCATCAAAACAACCTATCAAATCAAAACAACGGAGCGGTTAACGAAAAAAAAAACTAAAAACAACGGGTGAAGAAAATGCATTTTATTAATTATATTTGTGAAAAAGTGCAAACTCGAAAACATACTTTGGTAAACAAGTCCATTGAAGGCTTTCCATAAAACCAGTTCGGTGTCGAATATAACCATTTTACTCGAGGTTGGCATTGCTTCATAACATTGATTCATTTGTAAAAGCCGAGCATAAGAGTCTGGTTCATAATGGAGCACCTGCAAAAAGGAAGGAATGGATACCAGCAAAAACATGTCGAAAATGCTCGCTGGAAAAAGGTGTCATATCGACAAAGTTGCAATAATTTTGAAAAAGTAATCCAAATAAAGCAAGCACTGAAATTGAAAACATCACGTAAACGAGTATGTATATGAGATGTTATTATATATTAAAGAATACAATGAAGAAAAAGAAAAATTCGTTTCGTTCTTCCCTCAGACGAAAGTTTATTTCATCAATCACGAGAGCTAGTCAGAATGTGAGGACTGGCGAAACATAGACACAGGGGAAAGAAGAAAAAAACCCAGAAGTTGAAACAAAGTTGATCATACAGAAGATAAAATCAGTTCATAGAAACTTGAATGTCAAAAAAAAACAAGTTCAGTAACGGAACAAAAACTACATAAACAGACCAGATCAAACAACTAAATTGACGAGTTTACGAAAGATAATAAAGATTAAATAATAAATAAATCATAAAACTCCAAAAACATACCTCGTTAATAGATCGCTCCCTGACACTATAGGTGTGTGCATGGCTGAACGGTGTTCGCATTGGAGATCGTAATGACTGAGAATGAGGTCCGATAGTTAAATGGGAACGTAGAGGCGACACCGACTCGGAATGTGACATCGTTCCCTGATACGACTTAATTACTATAACGAATCAAAATCAATCAATAAACGTTGCACGTACGAAAATGGCGCTGACACGAGCAAACACAAACTACAGGGCATTGGCAATGCTAGCACAGGAACTCTTTGGCCCACAAGTTAGGGTAAGAGAGACCTAGAAACAATCTCAATTAAACTTCAATTGACCAGTTGTTTTATCACGAATGAATAAAAAACTCAGCGCACCATAAAATCTCGCAGTGCGAGTGACGGGAGATTTACGAACTGATGGCGCCGAATTATCGGTGGTCGGCGGTGTAAATCTCCCGTCGCTCGCATCGCTCAAGCGATCCGTCGCTCCTGCAATTGGTGCAAAATCGCTCCAATCGCAAAGTCTGACATCGGCCACTGGAAGGGACCCGTATGGAGCCTTGGCACGGTGAAAAAATCTTAGTAAGACCGACTTTGCTAATGAGAAAGAAATTAGCGTAAATATTCAGAGCCGTACCTAATGAAGTGGCACATTGTCACATTGGACGTGCTATCGTAGTTCGCGCGGGAAGGGGGAGGGGGCAGTGGCAGTCGGCGATAGGGTTTCTAGACTGTCTGCGTCCTCATACCGAGATAACTTCAGCGCCTTTCGTTTTTAACATCTTGTTTTTTTTTTACCTTAGAGCTTATTTGGGGAAAGAAAGAAACCAGTGCTATACTCACGTTCTACGAATAACTTGCTTCAACTGCAATCTTAACGATCCAATAACCTCACACGGATTGTATATCTGGCTTATAAAACACTAAAAAATTCTCGAAATGCCAGTCGGGTTCGCTCACCGGTTTTTCGAGTACGCTACGAGCGAGATATGTACACTCCGTTTCATGCAGCCAGAAATCCACGTGGCACACGTGGCTAAATTCTCGATGAAAAGGTGACGTCACGTGTGCTCAAAGATGTTCTTGAATCGATGCCACGTTAATGCCACGTCAATTTCTGCAATTGCACAATTTCTGGTTATTTGAAGGCGAGGGTACGTGGGGCTGGTGCCCACTGCTATGACGTAACGAGACGCTATGGGAATAACTCGCACATTCCAGCTTTTCAAGCATGTCAAGTGACACATGGGCACCAGTCCCCACGTACATATCTCGCTCGTAGCGTACTCGAAAAACCGGTGAGCGAACCCGACTGGCATTTCGAGAATTTTTTAGTGTTTTATAAGCCAGATATACAATCCGTGTGAGGTTATTGGATCGTTAAGATTGCAGTTGAAGCAAGTTATTCGTAGAACGTGAGTATAGCACTGGTTTCTTTCTTTCCCCA